TCTATTAGATCACATAAACTGAAAATCAATAATCTATTGAAAAATATTTAATATGTGTTCTTGCTATACATTGAAATAAAGCTTTAAAGAAAGGCAGATCAAACCTTTTAGCGTTAAAAAATGGAGGGAGGCTTAGGCAAAGAAGAGGGGCTATTTGCCCTGTCGGTCCCTAATTTTAACCCTTCGTTTGCGGCTTGTGTAAATTTGCCTACCACCCCCTTGCGCAAATATTCGCGAATTTCTACGACGGACCATTCAAAATGTTGCATGCAAAATATTTGCATCATATGATGTCAACCTCAGTCGCCTATGCTAACATCATGTGATGTCGCCCACGGTTGAAGGGTTAAACTAATAAACTAGAAGAATAGCAGTTAGTAAAAGCAACCATTGCCAATTCTTGGACTACTTTTGCTTAACTAACTAGGGGAATCTCGCCGTCACTTCTATAACTCACCCACTGCCCGACGTGCAAAGTGCGTTTATTCGGAAACGGGACCCTCAGCTTCAAAGTACGACACACTAGCCATTAGGTCACGTCTGGCCCAGAGAGCGAGGGTTTACAATATATCGTGATTCAGTGTCTAACCGTAACCCATAGTTTTCATTCACTGAGGTCCATATTCAGGCACCTTCTGGATTTGAAATTGCCAATTCACTTCATAACAAGGTTTTTATTATCATTTTCAGCACAAAATATAGGATTGTTCAATTAAGTGTTTTACGTTATTAGAAGAAGATAAAATACTGTTTATATAAATCCAGCTTGGACTGACGAAAAGAAAAACCTGGCTATCAAAGGTTTGAGGAATAAGTGTGGTCCTATTTCGTTTTAGTCTTCTCTGCAAGTGTATAATTTGAATGAATAAATTACTTATGTATCGCTGGTTGAGTAAAACTGTTTAACGACGGTCCCGCAAATACTTTCTGTACATATCGCATTTTTCCATAGATGGTCCCAAAATTAAAACGTTCACAGACAACATAGCTGCAGACATCGGGGGAGAGGTCTGCCTGAGCTGTGACGCTGATGGTAACCCTAACCCTGAAATAGCGTGGCTGCATGAAGAGTCCAGTAGTATCGTAGGATTTGGACCACAGCTCGTCATCTCAGATATTACACCTAAAAAGGCGGGAAAATACACATGCAGAATCACAGTACCAGGTTTTCCAGAGATTTCGACAGATGTAATGGTCTACATTAAAGGTAATTTCTCTCTTATGACACTCGAACAGTGTTGATATAAGAATATTTAGTGCTTCTTCACCGCTATACCTACTTTAATATTCTATATTTGTTTTACGTATCTCATCTGATATTTCTATCTATAAAAAGACCTTAAAGAGACCTTATGTATTACGAGAGGTGCTTAATTATGAATTTTGTTTTAGTTAATCACAGACACGCTAAACAATATCATCTCAGTTTACTCTGTGCTCCTGCTACAAAAAATTATAAGTCAGTAAATTCGCCAAATTTTCAGCTGGAGACATCAAGGCAGACATGCAGTGACGTATTTTGAGTATCAGAAGGCATATCTCAGCAATAGGTGTAATTTATATAACGTTCAATGTGAATGCTGAGAAATGTTACACTGACAAAAAGAATTACAAAGAAACTAGAAACGTATTAAAGTTGAAAAAAAAGCTACTTTACAATAAGAATATGCATGCAGGCCTTTAAGGCATCACAGACAAATATTGCTTTTAGGTTGGATTTTAACCATGGATGTTATATGGTAAAGCGCCCTCACGCGGTACTGAAGACACACTTCCTTGTGTTCTCGATATTGAGTGTATTACATACTTTTGTTACAGTTTTCGGAGCAGACGTCATTACTTGCCCGTGGCAGGCTTTGAAAAGGGAACCAGAGAAATAATGTTGCAACATTTCAAAGGCAATGGAACGTTTATTTGGTTTACGGACCTTTAGGCAATTTTGATACAAAAAAGTCGCAACTTAAAAAAGAATTTATTATTTTGCTATAAATCAAAAAAATGGCATGCTCTGTTTTAAAAACTATAAATTAACTTTGTGTTAACCAAGAATAAAGTTCGGTATGTTTTTTTTTATATTTTCTTTCTCGTGTGCTAAGCATAAAATATGGTTTAGGTTTCTCTACGGAAATCTGATCTTTTGAACCGACGTGTTCTGACTCCCGAGTTCATCATTCCCTCTATGACACTGACAAATCGTTATGTTCAGCTGCACAGCATTTTATTTGATAGATCCATTAATAGGACCATCACACTAAATTTCTGGTTATTATAGGTTGTGCACGTGTCAGTGTGCGATACGTAAAAAAATCACATTTAGAGTTTTTCTCGAAAGATATACAAACGCTTGAAATATGTTCTATTCAAGTAATGATCTTAAACTATAGTCCTATCCGACAGTTAGAGTACAGTTTGTTTATCTCTGAGCTGAGAGTATATATATCCGCAAGCTTACAGTGCAGTAGTAAACAATAAAATGATCATAAGAAGTAATATTCATTTCCTTTTAAGATCAGCTGAGTAATATCAGCTGTGTACATAAGTTAAAACAACAAATGTGAAGAATTTGTGAGTGAATTAACTCTCATACTTTGATTTTTGTGACGATTAACTCTTTTAACGTAATTTACAAATTCTCATTAAGAGCATTTCACACCTTGTATTAGACAAAGTAAACCAGAGTGTTGCCCATCATTGTCCAGCTTAATATTATAGTAACATCATTCTGGATTATCTGTACAACAACAACTTCATCGAATTCAAGTAGGCGTTCCCTATTTTAACCATTATAAGCTTTGAAATTCAGACGTTTTCATTAACAAACAGAAAACATATATATATATAGAAACAAGCCAGAGTTTATAACATCAATAAGTATTCTGTTTAGGTAATTCTAGACAATATGGTAATAATTTTCACGTGTCTGGATCCGTTTAGTTTGCATCATGTTGACTTTTAAAGTTAATACACAATCTAATCAG